GTACACTTCTCCCTCCTAGGTACACCTCCGACACTCCCAGGTGCACCTCCTGACACTCCCAGGTACACCCCTGACCTCCCAGGTACACCACTGACTTGCCTCCAGGTGCACCCCTGGCACTCCCAGGTACACCTCTCATACTCCCAGGTACACCTCAGACACTACCAGGTACACCCCTGGCACTCCCAGGTACCCCTGACCTCCCCAGGTACACCTCTGACTCTCAGGTGCTCCACCCTGACCTCCCTGGTACACCCCTGACATTCCCAGGTACACCTCCGACTCTCCAGGCACACCTCAGGCACTACCAGGTACCACCACTGACACTCCCAGGTACACCTCTGGCCTTCAGGTACACCTCTGACACTTCAGGTACCTCTGGCCTCCAGGAACACCTCCTGACACTCCCCAGGTCCACCACTTGCTCCAGGTACACCACTGACACCCCCCTCAAGTAAACCACCCCAGCACTCCCAGGTACACCTCTGACACTCCCCTGGTACTCCTCTCACACTCCCAGGTACAACTCGGAGCACTCCCAGGTACACCTCGGGCTTTGCTCCCAAATTTTTCAGACACTCCCAGGTACACCTCAGACAATCCTAGGTGCACCCTGACCTCCCAGGTACACCTCTGACCTCCCAGGCACACCTCTGACACTCCCTGGGTACACCTCAGACACTCCCAGGTACACCTCTGAACCTCCCAGGTACTCCTCTGGCCTCCTGGTACACCACTGACTCCCAGGTACACCAATAACACCCCAGGTATTCCACTGACGCTCCTGGTATCTCTGACACTCACAGGTACACCTCAGACTCCAGGTACACCTCCGACACTCCCAGGTACACCTCCTGACACTCCCGTGTGCAGCTCAGACACTCAGGCCACTGACACTTCCAGGTACACCTTTGACACTCAGGTACACCTCCCATACACTCCCAGGTACACCTCAGACACTCCCAGGTACACCTCCCTGACACTCCCAGGTACACCAATGGCCTCCCAGGCACCCAACTCTGACACTCTCAGGTACACCGCTGACACTCCCAGGTACACCTGATGCTCCAGGTACACCTCTCACACTCCAGGTACACCTCCAGACACTCCCAGGTAAACCTCTGACACTTGGTACACATCTGACACTTCCAGGTACACCTCTGACACTCCCCGGAACACCAATGACACCCCCAGGTACACCTTTGACACTCCCAGGTACACCTCTGACACTCCCAGGTACACATTTGACACTCCCAGGTACACCTCTGACACTCTCAGGTACACCTCTGACACTCCCAGGTACTCCTCTGACACTCCGTGGTACTCCTCTGACACTCGGTGGTGCTCCTTGTCCACTCCCATGCACCTCGAACCTCCTGAGTACCTCAGACACTCCCATGTGTACATCTCAACGGAACACTCCCAGAACTTTGACACTCCCATGTGCACCTCTGACACTGCCAGGTAGACCTCTGACAGTCCCAGGTACACCTCTGGCATCCCAGGTACACCTCAAACCTCCCAGGTGCCACCTTGAACACTCCCAGGTACACCACACTGACACTCCCAGGTATGCCTGACACTCCCAGGTCCACTTCTGACACTCCCAGGTACACCTCAGACACTCCCAGGTCCTCCTCTGACACTGCCAGGTACACCTCAGACACTGCCAGGTGCACCTCAGACACTACCAGGTACACATCGGACCTCTCAGGTACACACCTCAGACACTCCCAGGTACACCTCTGACTTGTACTCCCAGGTACGCCTGTGACACTCCCAGGTGCACCTCTGACACTCCCAGGTACACCTCAGACACTCCATGTACACCTCTGACCTCCCAGGTACACCACCCCAGCACTTTCTGGTGCCTCTGGCACTCCCAGGTACACCTCTGATGCTCCCAGGTACCTCTGGCCTCAGGTACACCCTGACCCTCCCAGGCCACCCCCTGACACTCAGGTGCACTGCCAGGTACACCTCAGAGACACTCCCAGGTACCCTCTGACCTCCCAGGAACACCTCCTCTGACACTTCAGGTACATCTCTGACACTCTGTTTTCCCTGACACTCCCAGGTGCCTCTGACATTCCAGGTACACCTCTGGCCTCCCAGGTGCTCCTCTGACCTCCCAGGTTTTGTGAGCTCAGACCTTCTCCACCTCCTAGGTACACCTCCGACCCTCCCAGGTACACCCTCTGACACTCCCCAGGTACACCTCATGCACTCCCAGGTACACCTCTGACACACCATGGAACACCTCTGACACTCCAGGTGCCTCAGACACTCCCAGGTACACCTCCTGGCCTCCCAGGTACACCTCTGAGCACTCCTGGTTACACCTCTGACACTCCCAGAGGCCTCACCTGCTCCCATTTTCCTCTGACCTCCCAGGTACTCCTCCTGACACTCCCTGGTACACCCCTGACACCCAGGTACACCTCAGGCACTCCCAGGTAAGCCTCTGACCTCCCAGGTACTCCTCTGACACTCCAAAAGTACACCTCCTGACACTCTATGGTACCTCAGACACTCCAGGTACACTTCTCAAAGCAATATTACGTAACTAGAAGGGCCTGCAGAATCATGCTCGGCGCAGAATACTCCGGCTACACCAACGCTCTCTCCACCCTGGAAATGCCATCCCTCAGTGACCTCCACCACCAAGCACTGGAAAGGTTTGGCCGTGGACTACTGCACCACCCTCGCCATCGCCACCTCCTGCCACCTGCAGCCCCCCACCCAACTCGCGCAGTCCGCCACTACAACAAAATTCAGCCCATAAGAGCCCGCACCGATAGATATAAGAACAGCACCATCCCATCTATTGTTAAAATAATAAACAACTCCTGATTTATGTACTGCACAGCCCTGTAAATGTATTCAATGCATATTATATCATTATGTCTAAATTAAATGTAAGTCTGTATATTTTCAGCCACCGGCTGCAACTCTATTAATAAACCGTTTATTATTATTATTATTATTATTATTATAATTACACAAGAAATACTGATCATCACACCTTTGAACATTAAGTCAGGAAACTTTCTTCGGTACTCAGCTCGATGTTGGTTCAAAAAACGCATATAAGGAGACATGGGGCGTTTAGGAGGCTCCGGCAGGCCAAGCTGTGCGGCGACTGTCTGCTTGAAGGCGACTGATACAAATCTACAAAGAGATGACAGTCAAGGTTAGACACCCTAGTTTATTTCACCTGATGATTAAAACAGCCTAGCCATCCACTGGACCACAATGGGCTACATAAGTTATACAGTATAGTATAACAATATCTGGTACAGTACATGGATAATATTATTAAAGCTCTCGAAGACTCCTGGCAAAAACGTAATATTCCTGAAACACAGAAAACTGCTACATTCTATAATGTATCATTTATTAAATAAACTAACCTAACCAAACCAAACCTAACCTACCTAATCTAACCAAACCTAAAATACTAGTTACTGTCTCTTGTATTAAAACCTCAGAAAATATCGTCTTTCTCGTGTAATTGTTTGTCTGCTTCACCAGTTAATAAAACCTATATATTCTATGAACGTATATTCCTTTAATTTACTGCGAAGGGTATACCCACATTAAGTATTACCAATTAACTGTTTGAGTTCCTCCACCGATGGTTTTGTCTGTTACTCTTGATCAAATTATCTATATAACGATTATTATAACATAGTGAAACCTCTATATAGCGGACTTCTCTATATAGTCTGTTATATAGAGGTTTCACTGTATTACTGTTTATTATAATTATATTGGTGTTGTTGATGCCAGAAACAAGTCTTAGTAAAGTTGTTGTTGGTGGTTCTTGGGGGACAATATATAACAGCTTTATATTATTTCCACAAGATGGTAATGATCTATGTAAATATTTCTGAGAGACATACCCAGGCACCTCAGTGAGTCTGGTAACTAAGCCTCGAGTCAAGGAGCAGCCGCCACACACCAGTCTCAACAGAGCCATGTTTACTGCCTGCACTTGTTCGAAACGTGATCCTTCAATAACATCATATTTGATAAGATAAAGATGAGTTTTATTTGGGGAATTTGGGTTATTTTATCATATATATGAGTTAAAATTAATTAAAAGTATCCAGAACATACAATATTTATATCAATATTCTTTTAATATTAGCAAAAGCACATTATGTAAAGCCATATGATAAGGTTCGAACACTTGAATATTCTTCATGTAAACAAGGTCATCTGGCGGGAGGTTTAACACTATCTGAAGCCGTTTAGCAATGACCCAAATACCTCATAAATAACTAATGTAACTTTTAATACAATAATGGCAGATTATTTATAATGAGTTTTTACAATATATTGTGTTATTTATAATGAGTTTTTACAATATATTGTGGAGAATTAGAAGCTTTATTATAAGAGGTAGACATTAAATTACCAGAAACAATCTTTAGTTTAGATTTAGTACAACACAATATGACATACAAAAAGTCTAAAGTGTATATATAATACCTACGGCACTTGAGATACAAAATGATAATGATAAAGTCCTTTTGATAGTATTTAGAGTAAAAAATATTTTTAAATAGTAAGAAATACTCTCTTGTAGAATTCTCTACAAACTATTATGAATACAATCACGGCCAAGAGGCACCAGACTCAATAAATACCAAGTGGTAAAGTAAAAATTAAGGAGAAAATAAGATTTATTTCTTACCCCAAAAGGTGCACTAGAAGTACTTTAATTGTCTAAATCAAATTAAAACAACATTTGAATCTCCCGCCAAACTCTCTGTTTACTTGGGTTACCTTTGAATTCGAAAGCTATTAAATGACTTTATATTACTCTTCACATACAGTCAATGATGGATGAATTCATAAAAAATGTAATGAAAATACAGTATGATATTCTAATTAAAAAATCTGCATTATATATTTCTAATCTATTAATCTTTGGCTATTTAATATTTATAATATTTGGTCTTGTGTTTGTTGAAAGACTCCGAACACGGGCGCCGTCAGCTGGTGAACATGTTGGCTCTATCACGACTCTTTACTGCACGATGTTCTCTCACCCGAGGCATGTTGGTGAGGTGTACAGGCAGCCCACTGTAAGTAACCAAACACTATTAACACACAGAGATCATGGGAAGTAAACAGTGCTTTGATTATGTTAAAGTTTATTCAGGAGAGACAGGAATAGTTCCCAAGGGTTCGGGGTAAAGGAACATTTTAGGGTTTTGTTGGGATAATTTACACCTGATGAGCGCCAACTTGAGAATATTTCACCTCAGATTGGCTAAGCTGATAATTGGTGAAATGCCAAAAATTAGATAAGGAATAATGTACGTACTCTTAATTTCACATCCTCCAACTTTTTTTTTATAGTATAGAGGTAAGAAAGTAGTTTTCTCCAAGAGTTTTTTCCCTAAAGTTGCTGCTTCTCAAATGCTGGTGTTTTGTACTGTTACCAAATTAACCATAGAAGATAACTTCTTTCTTATCTCAAGAGCATCCCACAACAGGCCGAGGATTTACAATTTTGGTAAAGTTGTTTTGTCAACTTTTTTGTTATGAACACTTATTTCTGTGGGGCTGTTAATATATGATACTGTACAATATAACCCTATTATTAATCTATGAGCGGCACAGCTGTCACTCATGTCTTCTCTGTAAATATTGTTGTTCTTTACAGCCTGGCACCTGTGGCATACAAACAAACAATTGCACAAGAGTTGGGTCTGCCAGAGCCTCCCAAGCGACCTGTGACGCCTTATATAAGGTTTTTGGTCCACCACCAGGAAGGTCTCAGGAGAAAGTCTCCTCAGCTCTCAATGAGAGGTTTAACTTATGATTTTTGAAATATTTTATGTGTAGTTATTAATTAGTCAATAAACCTCTTATAAAGAAAATGTAACTTATGACAGCAGGTAGAGATGGGAAGAGGGTTAATGTGTGCTGTATACTGTACCTATCATTGTGGGAGTCACCTGTGAAATTAACATCATAATTGAATGCAAAAGGAAATATCATCAAGGGATTACTCTTATTGTGGATCTGTTTATATTTCAGAAATTGGCAAGACGGTGTTACATAAGTGGGAGAACCTCACTTTTGAAGAGAAGAGTGAATGGTCACAGGCTTATGAGAGAGATAAAGCTGTGTATGATGTCAGGTACGACTAGCTGGTATTGTCTCGTCTTAAGTAACAAGTTTATGTGGTTGTTCTAATAGTTCATTTTGAACATTTGCCGTACCATTGCCAAATAGGTAGAGTGAGCCCCTGCCCTGCCCTGACCTGACCCCTCTACAATATGTCCAGTACTTTACAATGTGTACAATCAAAATTTTCTTTGTACATTAATTTAGTATTTTTATGTTAGGTTAGGTTAGGTTTGACTAAGCATATCTCAACATTGACCGTATGCTACATTAACACCAATATCTTAAGACTGTGTTTATGTGTCAATTTATTTTTCAATGTTACATAATGTTTTTTTTTTTTTTTTTTACCAGATATATGGATTACATGAAGTCACTGAGTCCACAACAGATTAAGAGCATGAAGGAGCTCAAGTTGAAGCGCTCGGAGGAGAAGTTAAGACAAGTGGAAGATAAGGTGAAGGTGTTGGAGGTAAAGACAAAGCGAGAGGAAGGAAAGTTGAAGGCTCAGTTACGACTCAAGAAAAAGAGAGAATGTAAGGAACTCGGTAAACCTAAAAGTCCGATCACCGCCTTCGCCCTCTACATCAATTCCTTAGAGGAAGAGAACGCTTCATTCAAGGTATTGTATTGTTGTATGAGTTGGGAGGCTTAATTTAAAACAGGGAGAGAGAGGGCATGATTCAATATATATTAAGTGGAAGGGTCAGATAATTCTCCCCATTTTTTAATCATAGTGCATAAATCTCCCTATTATTCTCCCCATCATTGAGGTTTCTGTTTACCTTGAGTCACCTCACACAAAAATGGGAGAGGGGCAGAGTCAACAGATAGATATAAAGAATGGTGATACAAGGGAGGACATAGGCTGGGCAAAACAGTACAAACAAAGTGAATGTTTCTACCCTTACAGGACATCCTGATAGTGGGAGCCACCAAATGGCATACCTTGCCTAAAGAAACACAAGACTGGTACCTTGAGAAGGCGAAGGAGCAACGAGAGGAGTACCAGCATGACCTCCTAGACTGGGAAATCACGTAAGTAATAATACACTTGATAAACTGGACCAGTCATGAGTGTGGTGCCAGCTCTCTCAAGATGGTGCTCGTTTTAGTGCTCTGACCTTCACCTTGCACCATTTGACCCCAGCTTTTTGGTTTTATCATTTTCGCCACTTATCAGTTTATTAGCCATTCGGGCAGTTGGTTTATCCAGTGTTAGTATAGGAGGAAACTTGAGTCTGGGAAACCTGTGATGTTTGGTAGTGAGGTTCACACTGGATAACACCCTTCTCACGTGTGTCCGGGCCAAGCAGGACTCCAACCCTTGACATATTGGTGAGAGACACACATATTGCCGCTGTACCACCAGTGCCTCTTGGAAGATACAAGAACCTAACCTTGAGTTATTCTCGTAACATATACAGTAACCTAAATGTATTTAATTATTTCGAGGGCCATTAATTAACACTAATAATTAGAATTTTAACATATTGAGTCCGATCCTTAACCAACATTATATGAAATTTGATAAAAATTTTTAATTTTTACCAAATGTATTGAAACTTCTAAATACAGTACAGTACAATAATCTGTATTTAATGTTTTTCTTTTGTTTTATGTTGTTATTTAAGAAGTAAAATAAATATTCAGCAGAATTTATGTGAGCGTGTGGAAGCAAAATTTGACTTGGCAGAGAAAGAAAATTGAACCTAACCTAGAGCAGAAAATGTCTGGTTTTCAAGAATCTCCAGTTTTCTGAGTTCTGGTATCAAGGATCTGTACTTATACTGTATGTTGAAGCCATATACCCTGTACATGTATCCTAACTTTAAGCTAAATGCAGGAGGTTAAAACACTCCAAAAGTTCTGAAATTTGATGTGGCAGCCTCAAAACTGAACTCCAAAATCAGTGAAAAAAATTAAATTATATAATGACGATACGTATTATCAAAATGCTCCTTTCTGCTGCCTAACATCATCTAATATTAGGATCTTCTACTTTTTCAGGATGTTTAAGAAAGGCAGACGTGACCTTGTGCGTGTTAGTCAACTGGAGGAAATATCCAAACGCTTGGGAAATTAGTCTCTCGGACCTGAAGGTTGAGGATATGAATATAGCGGTGCTGAAGGAAAATGTAAAATACCTCCTTAACTTAGCCAGCTGTTCATGTATTAAGCCAAGCCAAAATTGGTGAATGACAAAATTTTTACAAGAACCATCATTGCTTGAATAATACTAATGATAATAATAATGATGATCATAATAATATTCATTCAATACAATTGAATGGACATGTACAGTTTATAGACTGTGTAGCTATACAGTGCAATATGAATACAGACTGGTGCCTGCACTACAGTACCTCAGTTACCCAGAGAGATTAAAATGCCTGCAACTGCCTAGCTTATACTATAGACGGGCAAGGGGTGACCTAATTGTTGTTTATAAACGTCTCAGAGGGCACCACTCAGTTGAGTGTCCATACCTGGAGTTGACGGACGTCTGCCTCACTTGATGTCACAGCTCAAGGCTTAAGAAGGCACATGCCCCAAAAACTGTGAGGGGTAACTTTTTCGGAGTGAGAGTCGTGAACTCGTGAAACAATCTGCCAGAGTGTCGTGACCCGCACCGAGTGTGAGCTCTTTCAAGACCAGACTGTAGCAGGTTCAGATACAATCAGGAGCCAGTGAATGCCCAGTACTTGTCAACAGTGTATAGCAGAGACATGACTGACTGCCAAGGTGGCTTATGAGCCTATCAGTGGTGAAGAGGATAAAAGTAATGGACAATACAGTACAGGTACAGGGCATATAGGTACAATACAGTGGAGGTACAGTAGAGTATACAGTATTCCATGTACATAGTGCAGGTATACAAAAATGGTAGCCAGTGAGATAATTTGACCAAGGATAGATGACAAAGCTGTTAGATGTATATTTCCCGGAGGGTTCCATCAAAGAGCTCTAATATTGACTCATAATGCAGGGGAATAAACTTAGAAAATTATGATTATTGAACTTGGATCTGTTCTTCATGGTGTGAGGCCTTGTACCATGTTGTGTTATGAACTTTGAAGCTTTATTCCAGTCAGGTTAATGGAGTCAGCAGTACAGGTGGATGTACTTGTTGACAGACAGATGAACGTGCCGTCATCCACAAAGTCTTGTCGGCTCTCCTCCTGCACCACGGACCTCAGGATTCAGACAAGTGAACCTGAAGCATTTATGGACTGATTAATACATCAAAGTCTACTGCTTTGGGTTCATGAGTCAGAATCTCGAGGTTCGTGGTTCAGGAAGAGAGGCGACAGGACTTTTGTGGGTGAAGGTACAATCAGGAGTAAACCTCAATGCCTCGACTGTACAACTGTATAGTGGGACGAAAATTTATGCAGTAAATAATAACAGATGATTATTAAAAGATTCTGTGTTTTAGTCTGTAAATTTGTATATGAAAAGAACAGTTACAATGGATGGTTCACATTAAGAACACCCCCCCCTCCCTTCCTCTCCCGATGTACCAGAAATAACAGCATTTTCCACCATGGGATCCTTATATGGTACAGGTATATGTGTACTGTACTGTATAGCCTTCCTCTGCATCAAACAAAAGTAATAAGGCTAAATAATATAGTTTGGTACTGTATAATTGCCCTTTCAAACACGCTGAATTCATTTATCTGAAGACTAATATTTGGATACCTAATATTTGTGCCATAATGTATTAAAAAAATTGGTTGGTGTGGGCTGAGGTTATATCTACCCTGCGGATAATAGTAAAATGTTTTTATTTTCCAGTAGACGACTAGACCTAATACTTGAGTGAAAAAAAACATAATTTTTCCTTTTGAGTTGTCTAAAATAACCAATATACAGAACACACAGTTGATGATAGTTTCTTCCCTCGCCATGGCCATCTCTAGTTTGGGTGGCCATGGCCATCCCTAGTTTGGGTGGCCATGGCCATCTCTAGTTTGGGTGGCCATGGCCATCTCTAGTTTGGGTGGCCATGGCCATCCCTAGTTTGGGTGGCCATGGCCATCTCTAGTTTGGGTGGCCATGGCCATCTCTAGTTTGGGTGGCCATGGCCATCTCTAGTTTGGGTGGCCATGGCCATCTCTAGTTTGGGTGGCCATGGCCATCTCTAGTTTGGGTGGCCATGGCCATTAGGTACATAATAGTAAATAAATATGATAAAAGCAAATATAAACAAGACAGTTAATGTTGATATGTACCACGAACAACATTTACCCTTTAAACTTAATAAAATAATATAAACCATTCATAAATAACTTAATCTAGATAAAAATAAATCAAAAATATCAATTTAGGGTTTATTTAACAATCCAACCGAGAGATAAATAGTTTAATCATTAATCTTTGTGGTGATACTTTAACATTATACAGAGTGTTCCCTTAACTGGGTAATGACTCCTAGTGTGTACTGCATTACGTCTATGTAACTGGTGTAAGTACTATTATTTGTACCAACACAATTTAACAGTTCATTTATAACACATTAGTCCATTAATTACCTTGATATAATGTATGATAAGCTACGGTTAATGTGGCGGTGAGGCAGTTGTGTATTAAGGGAATAACTCTTACATGTTCTCAATGGTGTTGTTAAACCCAGGAGACTTTACTAGGCTGTGATGGACAGACTATTGTATTGTATTAACTTATTGTCTACCATTGTTTGTACCGTATAATTATCGTTTCTGTCATACACCTATTTGGAAGTAGGACAGACTCGTTTAAAACATCAAATACCATCGGAAAAACTAAATTTCAACCTAACCTAACCAAACCTAATCTAAACTTTCTTACACCTAATCTAAACTTTCCTAACCTAACCTAACCTAACCAAACCAAACCTAACCTAACCTAACCTAACCTAACCTAACCTATTCTAAACTTTCCTAACCTAACCTCTAGATATTAAAAACATTCAGGTCCTCATCATTTTATGGAATTTTCATGAGGTGAGAAATAATTTACCAGTCAGAAAAATTCCCTAAAGTTGTTGGTTAATGAGAGACGACTCCTGAGTATTGACCGCTGCAGGTGTATACAAACGGTATTATATTCGTTTTGGTCGTGCAGTGGATTCTAGGATTTTAAGTTTAGGTTAGGTTTGGTTTGGTTTGGTTAGGTTAGTTTAGCTCAGGTTTGGTTAAGCTAGGATAAGTTTGGTTAAGTTAGGTTAGGTTGAAATTATATTTTTCCGTTTTTTTTTTATGTGTTTTGAATGGTTCTGACTTTCTTCCTAATAGGTACATGACCAAAACGATAATTTTACCCCTTACTCTGTCTATGTATGTACTGAACCAATGTGAAGTTGTTTGATGATGTTACTGAATACATATACAGTATATGGATGTGTCCTTTATATTGGAACAGTCAGGATCAGGTTAGGTTATGTTAGATTAGGTCAGGTCAGGTTTGGTTAGGTCAACTTAGGCTAGTTCTGGTTAAATTAGCTCAGCTCAGGTTAGGTTAACTTAGGTTAGGATAAGTTCGGTTAGATTTGATTACCATTATGGTGGTTAATCATCAAGCTGTGGGGACTAAACTTCAGGTGATTCTTCTCTTCTCACCTGAACACTGTGGTCTCAGGTACTACTGAACAGGTGGTCAGGTGTTCAGTAAAAAAATCATCATACAAATTCACATACATTAATCGTATAGATCGTTACTGTATATAAACAATGGTGACTTAAGGAAGGAGCTCAAGAATGTCATGAGAAGTTCAGCTCATAAGCCACAGTTAGACCTCAGTACTTTATGGAAACTAACCAAGGAAATTACTGTAAAAAGAGACTCAATCCCAGCAAAGATTCAAGACTCTACTTGTGGATTGCCATTCTCCATACTTTTATATTTGACTCGAAGGTTGTATGAAGGTATACATACAACCACTTCAAGTTGTATATAGGTCGCTAAATTAATGTTGAAAAATACACAACTGGAAACAGATATGGCTTTTATAAGTTTCATTTCTCATTACTTGTACTGTACAGAGTAACATACATATTGTAATGCTGTATTAAAAGCCACAATGGAATTTCTCATCAGTGTAATACCTTTGATGAATCAAATGCATTAGTTAAATTAATCCTCATCATCATTGTTTTACAGCCACTCTCCACACTGGTCTGGGTTAGCCACATTAGTTAAATTAGTCCTGGTGATAAAATCTGGCCTTTTTTTATACATTACAGTGCAATGTCAATAATCTGGCTCCCTTGGGGCCAATTGCAGGATTGCGGAATACAGTACAGCACAGTCTGCTGGATTACATAAATGAATATTGCCTGAGGCCGGCCTGGTTGGCTGACAGATTACTTTATAACTGTTCCGTGCTAGTGAAGATTTATTCACCCAGCATATTCTCTACAGGTTATATATATATCATTCCATAAAAAATAATACAATATTTGTGTTAATTAACATTTTATTTAAAAAAGATAGAGCAGCCAAAAGGTGGAAGACAAAGTAGTGCTGTACTGTCCAAGTATAGTATAGTATAGTATAGTGTACAGTACAGTATAACTTCTGGTGACATGGGGGAGGATGGACCTCAGGTGGTAGTGGTGTAGCAGCTGTCTTAAACTGATGACAGATGAGGCCACTGTACTAAATGCCTCTTAACCCCGTGTGTATGGGCTCCCCTCTGAGCATCTGGTGGTGGCATACCCATAGTGAAGAGGTTAATACATGGTGTAAGAAGGGCAGAGCATAATCACTCATAACCTCTTGATATCTTTGTTATGTTTCAGTTAAGGAAGAAGGTCAGAAACACTGAACTAATAACGAGAAGTCTAGGTACATTGTCGTCACATATTTAAACAAAGTAAACAACAACACATTAGTGGGCTCTGTGGCAGCGGTGAGTCCCAAGGATATAATTGGCCCTGGATTTAATGGAAGAATATATACTGTACAGTTTACATTTTCGTTAATATATTTTGTTTTCAATTGTGCTGGTTTATAGGAGTTGCTGGAGCTTAAAGCTTAGATTAACAATGTTACTTTTTATTAATTTACCATTACACCAGAATGATTTTATATGTTGGGGTTTTCTGGTCAAGTGTAATAATAGACTTTGGTGAATACTGAAGTTTAAAAGCCAGAGTTTCAGTTTGGTAGAGAGAGAGGAGCTACAGTAAAGTAAATATTATACTGTACTGTAGATGGTTAATGTTATATGTACAGTATGGTAAATATAAAGCATTGATCACCTAACCAATTTGTAGCTGAGTTTACTATTTAAAATAACAATGCTAAAACTATTAAATAAGTAAATGGAGAAATAAATACAGTACCCTATTATAAAGTTTTGCATTAGCTTAAAATTTCTGAATGCCTTGAGGTATAGGTAACCATTCAAATTATTAAGAGTAACTTTTAAAATTGTGTCATAATTTTACCGGATTACCATTATTTGATCTGAAAGAAAACCTGAGTCAAATATATGTCTTTTATTTCCAGAAGGCATAGTGATGGAGGGTCAGTTGGTCCCTCTTAAACTAGGCATCCGCACCCAACCCCCGGCCCTCACGCTGGTGTACAGAAGCAGTGCCGGGAAAGAGCGACAGAGGGTCATGCCCGTTAGGTTCCTGAACAAGTTTGGTCCTGTGGATAATGTTCTGAAGGAGATGAAGGAACGACACAATGAACACCTACAGAAAGTTAGTACAGTACTGTATGGTGTTGTAATGTGTGTGTAGTTAAACCAGACTCACATTCCTAGGCATTATTCAACAAAGATCTTGACTGTATACAATCATAACTATCTGTAACAAAATACAGTACAGTATACACAATATTAATGTATAGAAGCTAAATCCGTTACATAAACAGAACAGAATACATCATTAATAATAAGCTGCCAAATGAACACCTTAGCACAATGTGATGTTATATTCTTTACACAAGTACTACAGTGTTCTAAGTGATGTTACTACAGTATAATAGTTTTCATAAGTACTGTACTAAATTGATGTTATATCAGTTTTTATAAGTGCATTGCTCTAATTAGTGATGTTATATTAGTTGTCATAAGTAAAGTACTCTTAATAAGTAATGTTTTATTAGGTTTGATGTGTCATAGGTCTCTGTAACTTACTTGGTGGCAACAGTGGACTTTCAATCAATGTGGTTTGGCTTCAGTCTCTTGGAAAATAAGTTAATATTCAAGTTCTCATTATAATACTGTACTGCCACACTAGTTAATAGTATACCTGTATTTAAGTTCACAATATAAAACTCAACTTCTAAATTAGTTAATATTTAAGTTCTCAACATGAAACTTTACTGCCTAATGAGTTAATATTTACAGTATACTCATCATACTGTATTTAATGTACTGTACTCACCCCTACAGGTACCAGATGTGAGGATGGAGAAAATGATCCGCATCTTACAGGAGGTGCAGAAGGGACGGACGGTAGAGGAAGCTGCGGCCAACATCTCTAAGGAATACTCTGTCGACCCGAACCAAGACCTGAACAAACTGGACGGCGAACAACTGGCGAAGAAAAAAAAGGTTCGACTCTTTTTGTTTTTCTTCACATTTGTTTAGGGTGTTGTATTTGTTATTGTCTATTGATGAATCTGGTAAATGCAATAGTTTTTTTTAAGTACAGTATACCAGAAAATATATATAATACATAAGAGCTTTTGTTTATTAAAGGAAAAAAAAAAGTGTGTGTGTGTGTGTGTGTGTTTTCTTCTTTCCTTGTGGTTATCAGCATATACCTAGATCACGCGCACCTACAGTGATTTACTTGCATATATATATATATATATATATATATATATATATATATATATATATATATATATATATATATATATATATATATATATATATATATATATATATACACACACACATATATACACACACACACACACTTTACAGTGTTTTATAGTTATTTACTGTTGGAGAAATCTTTCCATACAAACAAATTTTAATCAAAAGATTTAACAGTAAAGCACCTGTTGTTTTATAGAGGCTAAGCTAAAGTGGTGATAAGAATTTACAATGCAATTCAGATGATTGACATTCATTCATAGTTGCAGTTTTAGCTTACCTGTTGTTTTGATGTTATCCACCACACACTGTTTTAATTCATGAAATGCTGTGTTCATAATACAACTTTTGATATACAGTGGTCCCTCGGTTAACGAGCACAATTCGTTCTAGAAGGTTGCTCGTTAACCATAAACTCGTTAACCGAAACCATTGTTTCAATGGGTTTTTGGGTAATTAGTTCCAGCTCACCAAAAATTGCCTAAATTCAACAAAAAAGGTAGAAAAGTACACTTACTTTGAGGTGTGTATGTAGAAGGCTCCTGGATGATGATGATGGGAATTAGAATGGGGGTGGAGGAGAAGGGAGAAGAGAAGGCATTGGGGTGGAAGAGAAGTCACCCCATGGCGCCATTTCACCCATAAAATTTTGTGTTCTCTTGGTGTAATTCAAGATTATTTTCTTTAAATCAACACTGCACTGCATTATATATTGTCAATATGTAAAATAAATTTCAAAATGACCAAAAATTTGCTTGGAAGCACAGAAAAAAGCATTTAGTTGAAGAGAGTCTCAAGCAATATGTTACCTCCACTGAAAAGAGAGAGAGACTAACGCCTGTTTGGTGTGTTGCCAGGCTGGATGGCACGCCAGAAACTAGTTTCTTTACCTTCAATTATGTTCAATAATTGTTAAAATGACTAAAAATATTTAATATTAAACTTTTAAAATTATTGAATAGTATAAACTTCTTGATATTTACTAAAATTGTAAGGAATTTAAGCCCTAAAACCGATTACTGTATTGGCGGACTAATACTACAGCTGGTGGACCGCCAAATGCAAGCGAAAACATGTTGAGGTCAGCTTGTAAAAAACTCGTTAATCGAGGGATTGCTCGTTGACTGAAGTTAAGAATCTTATGGAAGGTAAATCGTTAACCGAAATCTCGTTAACCGAGGCGCTCGTTAACCGAGGGATCACTGTATGGAACTAATGTATAGTATTGTATATGTGTATAAACTTTAATGATGATAATAAACTTTTTGATTTATGGAACTAATGTACAGTACAGTATATGGTTACTGTATATATATAAAACTTTACTGGTGATTTTATAAACAGTTTGATTTATGGAACTAATTTATATGATCTTTGTATCAATGTTTCAGGTGATGAGTAGCAGCTTTGAGAAGAATCAGTTGAAGCCCGGCGACCCGGACTATGAGTACGACAAACAGGTGGAATATAACACCAGCGAGAAAGTGGAGGCTGGATGGGACTCGTCTGAGGATGACTTCTGGTTGTAGTCATGGTGGCTCAACAGATTTATACACGTGAAATTTTTTAATATTATTTTCTTTGTTGTTTTTATCAATTTGTTGACTTTCTGGTGATAATTTAGTAATGCAGTGAAGTGATATGAATTACTGTGAATCGATGTAGATGTACAGGGTTTCACTTTGTACTGTATAATGAATATGTGAAGTTGAGAATAAGTGTGTGTGTGTGTGGAGCATCATTATTATCCTCATTTTCATTATCATCACTATATCATCCCCATCCTCATTATATCACTATCATCACCATATCATCCCCATCCTCATTATATCACTATCATCACCATATCATCCCCATCCTCATTATATCACTATCATCACCATATCATCCCCATCCTCATTATTTCACTATCATCACCATATCATCCCCATCCTCATTATATTACTATCATCACCATATCATCCCCATCCTCATTATATCACTATCATCACCATATCCCCATCCTCATTATATCACTATCATCACCATATCATCCCCATCCTCATTATATCACTATCATCACCATATCATCCTTGTCATCATCATCATAATCATCACCATATCATTATCATCATATTCATCAAATCATCATCATCAATTTATGGTCTTCTTGGGGTTACATGAATTAGCTGTGTGTGATTACTGATGTTAACAAGACATTTAGGAAGATGAAAGTGTGAGAGGAAGACTTTTAATTTATTTTACTGTTTTACATTGGATTGAATTTTTGAATTGAATTGAAACAGTTTATTTAGGGTTAAAAACACAGATACAGAGTGGATAATAATAACACGGCTGAGCCAGTTGAGCACCTGAGCTGCACCTGATATATACTACACATTTATCTCAAGGAAGTATTATGTAACATTTAGTATCATCTGGTAATAAGAACATTTCATAATGTTACCACGGTTATCACTTCAATATTTATTTATTTTATTATTTATCATTTTAATTTTTTATTTTATTTTTATTTATTTATTTATTTATTTATTTATTTATTTATTTATTTATACATACATATACATATATATATATATATATATATATATATATATATATATATATATATATATATATATATATATATATATATATATACACATACACATATACAGTACATATAAATTACAGTGGAATTTAAAACATAAGTATAATGGGGGAGCAGTACAACCTGGGTTGTGGAGTAATAAGGTTGAACAAGAGGACAGAGCTGTCAGGATTATGTCTAGTTGGCATTTATGTTTATTGCAATGGTAATTACTTATCTATTTACATGATAATTTCCGATAAAATGGTTTTGATGGTTTAATAAAAGCAGGTACAGTACTGTAAATATAGTAAGTGTTACAAGAAATATTAATACTTCGACAATAGATATTTTTTTAGAGATGATTTAAAGGAAGGGAGCGTAGTCTTTGCTGGGATGTGTTACCAGCTTAGGGTGATACATTGGGGAGGTAAGGTCACTGTTGTTGATTGTTATTGTAATGAGGCAAACGGTATTGATCGCTGTATTTATAAACACATCAAGACTTGGTTCATGTTCTGTGTATGGGGACCTTCTGTGTGCTGAATGAAATATGTTAAAGATGGCAACCCTACAGTGAAGGGATTAAGACAAATGAAGGGCTGGTGTATTTTTTCCACTGTATGTCTTATAATATAAATTGATATGATAGTTCAGGGTACTAGGTTTTTTTCCTACAAGTGCTTCAGGGTAATAAGTCACTTGTTGCAGTTTATACTCCAGGTACTGTAGTAAATAACCCTTATTAAAGTTACCTGTATGGTCAAGCTATACTGTAGGTGTGTTTTGTAGAACTGTATTTATACTGTACCCAGCTGCCTTATGCCAAAACTACAATAAACCACAGATATGTAAACTTTATTGTTACTAAAAAAATATATATTGGCACTGAATAAGATAAATTACAGTTTTAGTTGTGATGAATAAACACTGTTATGGATTTAGGTAATGAGTCTATTTTAATTAGATAACAACCAGGATTATTAAGTAGAAGTTTATTGAATTATTTAGTGTTAAACAAATTACCTCATCTGTTGCAGTAGTAAGATTTGATGAGTGATGGAACCAAGGGAGAGAATGTAATTTGCTCTTGATTCCACCATTTCTGTCTTATGGGGGTAATAATCTTGAGTATGTATATTATTATTATTCCTTATTTTCATTTTGTCTTAAAGTTGAAGGTAAGTTTTACTTTATTATGGGATGTGTGAAGGTCTCTTAAGCTGCCACTCCTCACTTGTGTCTGGCCTAGTGGACCTGGGACTCTCTTCCTTCCTACCTTCCTCTTCTCTTTCCTCCTCCTTCCTACCTACTTCTATCTACTCCTCCCCTCCTTCCTAGGCTCCAGCTTCCTTCCTAGCTCTCCTTCCTCCTCTCCTCCCTCCTTCCTAGGCTTCTCTCCTCCTCCTCTCCTTCCTCTTCTCTCCTCCTCCTTCCTCTTCCTTCCTCCTCCCTCCTTCCTCCTAGGCTTCTCTCCTCCCTCCTTCCTCCCTTCTCTCCTCCCTCCTTCCTCCCAGGCTTCTCTCCTCCTCCTCCTTCCTTCTCCTAGGCTTCTCTCCTCCCTCCTTCCTCCCCTAGGCTTCTCTCCCTCCCTCCCTCCTTCCTAGGCTTCTTCCTCCTCCTCCTCCCTTCCCTAGGCTTCTCCTCCTCCTCCTTCCTCCTAGGCTTCTCTCCTCCCTCCTTCCTCCAGGCTTCTCTCCTCTCTCCCTCCTTCCTAGGCTTCTCTCCTCCCTCCTTCCTCCTAGGCTTCTCTCTTCCCTCCCTTCCTCCTTCTCCTCCTCCTCCTTCCTAGGCTTCTCTCCCTCCCTCCTTCCTCTTCTCTCCTCCCTCCTTCCCTCCTATTCTCCTCTCCCTCCCTCCCTCCTTCCTCCTAGGGCTTTCTCTCCTCCTCCTTCCTAGGCTAGGCTCTCTCCTCCTCTCCTCCCTTCTCCTTCCCTTCCTCCAGGAGGCTTCCTCTCTCTCTCCTTCCTTCCTAAGGCCTCCTCCTTCCTCCTAGGCTTCTCTCCTCCCCTCCTTCCTAGGCTTCTTCCTCCTCCTTCCTCCCCTAAGGCTCCTCCTCCTAGGCTTCCTCCTCCCTCTTAGGTGATCAGTGTTGTTAACGTTCTCCCTTTTTTTTTTTAGAAGATGGACCACACTGACATTGATTCATTATTTATTTCACCTGCATCTCTCTCTCTCTCTCTCTCTCTCTCCTCTCAACTAAGGCTTAACACACTTTATTATCATTCATCAACACTTGCCGCTGTAACATCCCTATACACCACTTATTACAATGGTGTTCTGTCATTCACTCACAGTGTTGCTTCATTGTATGTCCATTCTCTTTCTTCATCCTCCACCCTCCATCCTTCACCCCTCCATCCTTCACCTCCATCCTTCATCCTTCACCCCTCAGCCTTCACCCCTCCATCCCCTCCAGCCTCTCCACTTCCTCCATCCTTCACCCTCCGGCCTCCGTCCTTCACCCTCCGTCCTTCACCCTCCGTCCTTCACCCCTCCATCCTTCACCCTCCATCCTTCACCCCTCCAGCCTTCACCCTCAGCCTTCACCCTCCAGCCTTCACCCCTCCAGCCTTCACCCCTCAGCCTTCACCCCTCCCTTCACCCTCCAGCCTTCACCCCTCCAGCCTTCACCTCCATCCTCATCCTTCACCCTTCACCTCCGTCCTTCACCCTCCGTCCTTCACCTCCATCCTTCCTCCACCCCCCCTCCTCCTTCACCCTCTTCCCACCCCTCCGTCCTTCACCCCTCCATCCTTCACCCCTCCAGCCTTCACCCCTCCAGCCTTCACCCTTCCTCCTTCCCTCCATCCTTCACCCTCCGTCCTTCACCCCTCCGTCCTTCACCCCTCCGTCCTTCACCCTCCATCCTTCACCCTCCGTCTTTCACCCTCCGTCCTTCACCCCTCCGTCTTTCACACCTCCATCCTTCACCTCCTCCTTCACCTCCATCCTTCTCACCCCTCCGTCCTTCACCCTCCGTCCTTCACCCCTCCGTCTTTCACCCTCCATCCTTCACCCCTCCGTCCTTCATCCTCCTTCCCTCCATCCTTCACCCCTCCATCCTTCACCCCTCCAGCCTTCACCCCTCCACCCCTCCATCCTTCACCCCTCCATCCTTCACCCTCCAGCCTCCACCCCTCCATCCTTCACCCTCCATCCTTCACCCCCTCCATCCTTCACCTCCATCCTTCACCTCCGTCTTCTCCCCTCCATCCTTCACCCTCCAGCCTTCATCACCCTCCATCACCCTCCATCCTTCACCCCTCCAGCCTTCACCCCTCTTCACCTCCACACCCTCCAGCCTCCCTCCACCCTCCATCCTTCACCCCTCCATCCTTCACCCCTCCATCCTTCTATCTCCTTCTTGGTCCTCTCTCCCATCCCCCACCATCGTCACCTTAGTTATACACTTTTTTAAGTTTAATAAATATATTTTTGCTCATAATTTGTTTTCATTCTGCCCAACATGATCTCTATCCTTTATTCTGTTTCAGTTTTATGGTATTTGAAATACTCCTTCTAAAGAGAGATTGATATTCAGGTACAGTACAGCACAGTATTAAGAGTAACCAGGTAAATAGCTGGCAGAACTAAGAATGTTGGTGATTTGTGTGTGTGAAGAATGACCTTGATAATGAGGAAATCTAAGATACCTGGAGAAAATACTTCAATGAGGAGTATGTATGGAACAGCTTAGAAGTAGTAGAGTCGGCGCAGGAATGTTGAAGGTGAAGAAAGCCATTGATAAACTGAAGATTGGAGAGGCAGGTGTAAGCTTTGGAATAGTTACAGAAATAGTGAAAGTATCAGACGACTTAAGGTGTTTCAATGTTGACCGAATTGACTAATGCAATTACAGTATAGTGGAATAAACTGTTGCAGATGACTGGTGGAAGAGGGTGACTCTGAATACTTACAAGGGTGAGGGTAATGCACTCGAGCAGAAGAGTGATGAATGTGAGGTGAAAGTAAGGGTTAATTGGGGGTCTGTCTTAGGCCTCTTCTTTTTATTGGCAAAATCACAGGACTTAAGGACTGGTCTGCCCTGGGATTTTAGAGAAAATCAATTGCTAATTTTTTTAGTCATTGGACGGTACTAATAATTTGGTTCCCTAAATGCAGTCTACATTATAAACGGTTGAGGCAGCAGTACCTGTATGGTGTAAATTGTTTATGGTTCTGCTTATAGCTATAATAAATCCTGAGAATTTAA